AAAGGGAGTGGAATACATCACCAGCTAACATGAGTTTGTCATCGATGGGAAGTAGAAAAGCTTGTGATGACTATTTTTTGAGGGTGATACGACAATAAGTCCTCCCGTATTCTGACTATTTTATAGGAACAAATAGCGAAGCTTGCAGCTTCCCATAAAATAATCAGAATACGGGAGGACTTACTGTCGTACCACTCTTTCTCATTCTGAAAGAAAATTATCTTGAAAAAAAAGAGACTAAGCACTTACCTGAAGTTGTATAAAAAAAGACCAAGCCACAGTGTACCGAACATAAGTAACATATACAGTATTGAAGTGTCCCGATGGCACGGTTTCCCATATATCTAAAAAACAAACTAAGAGAAGCAAACTAAGTTCCTCTCATAACCAAAAAAAACTCTGATTATGACGGTGCAAAAAATCCAGTCGAAAACTTCCTTAGTCTTGAAAGAGTCAGCAATTGACCCTATGGAATTCAGGGAGGCTAAGTACCCTTTTAACGAATGATCGACTTAATGAAATCTGAACTCAGTTCTCCAGAATAGTATATTTACTGGAAAAGTCTTCCAAAAGTTTCAGCTTTTTGATTTTTCTGGTTGTCGAGTTAAAAACCAGGGTAAAATCTAGATGCACATACGCACACACATACACATAAACGTACACATGCGCACATACATACACATATAACTTTTCTACAATATAAGCTTTTACATTTCATCAACGGCACAAGAAATGTATAAGGAAGCGCAGGCTGCTATCTATTCACTTTAATTTTATGACACAGCTTATTTTACCAACTTCTAGTACAACTCAGCACATCCTGCTACATTTTGTCGGCCTTGAAGTTTGCAGCCCAGACAAATACTTCTAGCACCCTAGCACCCGTACTCTCGTCGAATGCTCGCTGTTCCCTGTCATCCGCAAGAGTGGTACCTGCATTGTAGTACTCGATCCAGCAATATTATCAACAACTGAGGCAAACGGAGTGGAATTGAGGCGAAAGGAAGGCAATGGATCATTATCTTCGTTTGATTTCTTCCGCACATTCGTACTGTCACAGCTATGATAATTCTTTTTGAAACCTGAAATCACTGCGGGAAATGCCTCTGACACACTTTTGCACGAGAAATTCTGACGAGCGGCTTTTTAATAATCAGATAAAAGACACTGTATTTTAGAATTAGTAAGGTGACAGTGATGATCCACGGGAAACGACACATGCCACTATTGCTAAATTGGGTGTTTTTACAGGATTTCGCAATGTAGTGAGATAGCTTGTACTAGGGGTCACTAAGCCTAAAGTGGGCTTCAGCCTAGGCACTGGTTCAGCGCAGAAGCACTTCAAATGATCAAATTGCAACATCACAGTCTCACTCCAGTAGCACAGGCGATTTCGCTATAGCACGAAATCTTTCAAAAACACATGATCGCACCTACTGCAATTGTTTTTTATGCGTTTTTGCATATATGCAAATTGCGAAAACGCATATTGAGAAGATGCTATCTGTGTCTGTGTCTGTGTGTTCGCACTTTTTGTCACCCACTTTCAACTCGAGAACCAGAAAAGCTAG